TGGCACCCCGGCCCATTCCAATGAAAGCAATACCGGCACCCATGGCGGCATCCTTGTCCTTGGTGATGTCTCCTGCGGCCTGACCGCCTTAGAATCCTACTCCAACCAGGGCTGTGGGTTTCAAGCTTTCCTTTGGCAAGCGACTGACCTCACCATCCTGGTGGCTGGCACTTACTTGAAGACTGGAGAGACTTTGCAGAGTGAAGCCAATGCCACGATCCTTGCAAGGTTGCTAGCTTTGGTACAGGCCGCAAATCACCCTTTTGTGCTCTTGGGTGATTGGCAAAACAGTCCAGGCTCCATAGCAAGCACGGTGCTACCTTCCAAGTTCCACTTTGAAGTTTTGGCCCCAGATGTCAGTTTGCTCTCCGGCAATGTCATCGACTATGCCCTGATCCACACCAGCTTGGCCGGCACCACTTCGATCACCACTGAGTGGGCCATTCCTTGGCGGCCACACACACTCCTCACATATCACTTCAACATCGAAGAAGCCACCAAAGAATACAGGCAGATTCAGCAATTTCCACCACTACCAGCCACACCGGACATTGACTTCCGGCCTTGGACCACGTACAAGTCCACTGCCTACGAGCTTGACCTCTATGGCAACCCGCCCAATGAAACCGCACAGCAATGGGCTGACTGGCTCTCGTGCACTGAGCAATACCTCCTTCAGGAGCACCCTTGGGCACCACAAGGAAGGGGCTCCAGTCTCAGGGCATGCCATAAACCCCTGACACCCAGCCACACAGTCACCACCTGGAAGAGAGGAAGACCGGCCTTCTGGGAGCAACTGAAGGCCCGTTTCCAGCTGGCCCTAAAACAACCCACACTGCAGGCCAGAGGACCGACCAAAGGCTTCATGCAAGCCACAGCTGATGTGCCCAAGCATTGGGTGGGAACCCCCACATGGGGTCAATTTCTTGATACTTGCCATCATTGGCGGCATTACCGTGATGAGCATGCTGCCACGCTCATTTGCCACACCCTTGAACATCAGCTTCAACTGGCCCACCAGGCTGCCAATGATGAAAACCATCTACAATACAAAGCATGGCTCCAACAAGGCTACACCAAGGGCCTGAAAGGCCTGTTCCGCAGCCTGCGCAGCAGCGAATTGGCATGGGAAAGACCATACAGAACCTTGCCACCTGATGAGAGGATGACACAAAGACTTCAAGACTGGGGAAAGCTTTGGCAAATCAGGCAAGAAGACCAACCACCTGAGCGACTTACCCTCCAAGCACTCGCCAAGCAGCAAGGACAGCAGCTAGAGCCTCTGACTCTCAGCCAACTCACGTGGGCGCTCCGCCACCTGCCTGATAAAGCTTGTGGTCCTGATGCAGTGACAGCACAAATGCTCCGAACGGCTCCCCCACTGGCTGTCAAGGCCCTTCTCAAGCTCTACCAAGCGATGGAAACCAAGGTTCAGCTGCCCACCCAACAGCAGATGCACATGGTGGTGATGCTCCCAAAAAACGAAGCCAAAGAACGGCCCATCACACTCACATCCCTGCTCTACAGGGTATGGTGTCGCCTGCGAAAGCCCTTGCTAGATGACTGGCAAAAACAACTACCAGCCACCATGCAACATGACAGAGCCAGACCAGGGGCACAAGTGCTCCATGTAGCCCTCGAACGGCTACTGCGACAAGAGGTGCATCGAGCAACTGGACAATATGGAGTGACCTGCCTTATGGACATGTCCACTTTCTACGACACCATCAACCTTCAGCGACTCCAGACTGAAGCCCTGAACTTGCAGTACCCTCCACTGATGCTTGAAATGGCTTTGCAAGTCTATCATGGCCCCAAGGCCATAGTTGCGGAGCAGGAGATGACGCCCTTTTTCACCGTCACCCATGGAGTCCCAGCTGGCTGCCCCCAGGCCCCTCTGCTGGCCAAGGCAGTACTCGCCCCAGCACTCCAACCATGGCAGCAAGCACATCCCAACATCCACCTCTCCAGTTGGGCTGACGATGTCGGTTTTGACACGGCCAGCAAAACCCCAGTCCAGGCAGCGAGAGCTTCTGTTGCAGCCTACCGAGACCTCCATGCAAGGCTCCAGCAACTAGGCCTTCAAGTCAATCCGAAGAAGACAGCCTTTGTCACCACTGACAAGGCCACTGATCGAGAACTCAGGGCTTTGCTCACCGAAAACGATCCCCAGATAGCGCCAGTCATGAGAGACTTAGGCATTGATCACCAGGCAGCCCGCAAGAGGAGGATCCCGGTGATGAAGCAGCGCATTAAAAAAGCCCACCACAGGAAAATCAAGTTGAGGAGCCTCAAAATCCCAGCCCTCAAAGTCCGGCTGCGCCTACATAGGGGAGGCATTCAACCAGTTGCTCTGTGGGGTGTCGAAAGTCAAGGCTTTGCACCACGATATCGAGCGGCATTGAGACACAGCATGGCAAAGCACTTGGGCCATCACACGGGCGGCCTTCTGGATGTCATCTATGATATCCATGCCAAGCGCTACATCGACCCTGCAGATCAGGTCATCATACAGCACATCAGAGCCATCCATCACCTCATCCAAGCATGGCCACCTGACCAAATGCCAACTCTTGAACAAGCGTGGCAATTGACCAGACAGCAGCTGCAGGAGAAACAATACCCATGGTACACTGTACGAGGACCCTTGGCAGCCACGATTGTCTACCTCCTGGAATGGGGATGGCAACCGAGAGACCTCCTGCATTGGCACCGGCCAGAAACCAAGCTGACGCTGGCTGAAGAGCTACACCTTCAGCAACCATGGTGGGTCATTGAGCGAACCCTCACCCGTGAAGCTCAACAGCAGCGCACAGCCAGACTCGCCAGTAAGCAATACTGCCAAGACTTGTTGACAGGACTGGATTGGCACACCTACAGGCAAGTGAGGAAGCACCTCAAGCAACAACAACAGCACCACCTTGACACCTGGGTCCAGGCGGCATTGCATTTCAGAGATGCGCACCAGACCAAGACCTGTCCGCAGTGCCAAGTCCCGGCCACGGCAAAGCGCATACTCTGGCTATGCAAATGGCACAAAACTCAAAACCATGAACCCATGCCACCTGAGTGGATGGACCGCATCACCAGTCATGATGAAGAACGCTTGTGGGCACATGGATGGATACCTCTCGAACCGCAAGAAGCAAGAACTCAGCAGCATCCACTCCAGGGACATGGCTGCTGGGCCGGCATGCAAGTCATCCCGCTCCAACAACACTGTGGCTGGGCTTTCACTCTGGATGCTACTCCATCCACCTATGACCATCGCAGCCAGATGTGGATCTTTGGTCTTTGTGCCCACAACATGGCCCTGGGACAACTCAAGAAGCTGGGATCCATCACTGGGGTAGCGACAGGAGAACAAACCAAAGTCCGGGCGCTTCTCACCGGATTGGTAGCCCTCACACACCACACGGCAGACCATGTCAAGGTCATTGTCCAGCTGGCATCCGTCTGGGAAGCTTGGCACCATGAAAAGCATCGGCACCCCTACCACGACATCTTGGATGAAGTACCACCCCAGGACTTCAAAAGAGTCACGGTGCTATACATCAGCAAAAACACCAGGACGCCAGATCAACCAGCCAACGCGCCGCAACTACGGCGAAGGCAAAGGGAAACAGCACTTGCAGCTTGGGAACGTGCCAAGACCCTGTACGACAGCAAACAGGAGGAATGGCAGGAAACCCTCGACCAAGATCACAAATTGATCTATGAGCATGCCGTCCAACGCCTCAGCAAAATCTTTGCTGACAGCCAGCACTATGTGCACCAAAAGGCTCCTAAGCACCAAGGCAAGCAAACGAAGCAATACAAAAAGGAGCTCATCAACCGCTGTCGACAGGCATGGGATGATGAGCACCACCACTGGGAGCAACACCAAAGAAGCGGATACCAATGCCGCAACTGTGGCCTGCGCATGCACCAAGGCCTTACCGCTGCCATCCTGGAAACCAGGTTGGCCGAGACCTGCCCTCAGAAGGTGTTCCAAGAGGTAGTCAACTCGCCAGACAAGGAGCAACAACTGCCCAGAAAACTCACCAGGGTGCAGCAGATCAAGGCGCTGCTGGACAAACAGCCAGAGCAACCTACGCCAGGCCACCACCAACTGGCTGAAACCACTGGCTACCTGAAGTGCGTGGTGTGCAACCTCAACATCCACAAGAGGGTCAATGAAGAGGCATTCAAAACTTTCATCCACAGCACTTGCATCAACCAAGCCTATCAGGCTGAACACCAAGGACACCCAAGCCATGCACTCTGGCAAGTGGGCGAGCGAGTCAAATGCACGCAATGCGGCACTCAATGGAACTTGGATGGGCAACATCGCATCATTGCGACACAGGCCTTCCACCGATTAGCACCTTCTTTCAGAAAAAGCAAGACAAGTCAAGCAGCCACAGCTCAGAGTCTTTCCCATCTGCTGCAGCAGCCACCACAGGACCTACTCCCAAGCGGCTGCACTTCCCCACGGCCTTGGAGGAAGCAGAACAGGAGGCCCTCACTCACGGCATGTCAGCACTGGCCATGACACCCAGCCAACCAGATGACACAGCCGATGAGGACCACCTCCCAGACATAGCAGTCGACTTCTTTTAGCAGCACCACCATGGCTCCTGCCGAAGGCCGACTGAGCTGACCTGACACCCTGAGCTGGCACCGGCACTCCTGAGGCAAATGCCCAGCCTGAACCGGCCAAATGGCCCAGATAAGCAACTCTAGAAAAATACATACATACATACATACTTACATTACATTACATTACATTACATTGCATTGCATTGCATTGCATTGCATTGCATTGCATTGCATTACATTACATTACATTACATTACATTACATTACATACATACATTAATTACATACATACATACATACATACATACATACATGCCGTAAATATGTATAATGTGACGTATCTTTGCAGCTGAGGATATCTGGAACACACAACTCCAGTCAGAATTTATTGCGGAAGTCACTTTTTTTCTCCACTTCTCCTTTGCAGACTGCTTTGCCACCTGCAAAGCCCTCTCGCTCCTGTCCGTCAAAAGGACCTTCCAAGTTGCGGCCACATGCACAGCATTCAGCCTGGTACCCTGACTGTCCTGCAAGGGACACATGATGAAACATGTATATAAGTTTGGCACCTCCGCGCCCAGAGCTGCAGCTACAAGGCCCGCGCAGCCTGTGCCGCAGCCGATCTCCACCACCTGTGGACAGGATGAAGGTGTGAAACGAGGGCAACTGAAGATGTCCGGACTGATCAAGAGTTTGAAGGAAGACAGGTACAAGGTACAAGTAGCAAGCTTCAACTCCCAATCAAGGAAACACTACCACAAAAACTTTGCAAGCTTTTCAATATCAGGATCTTTCGACATCTTTCGGGTACAACTGGCCGCCTTGCCGCTCAGCAGCTGAGGCTCTTCAACCAAACGTCGGGCTAACAAGAGCGCGCAATCATAGAGGACCCCAGCAATCCCAACAGATGCATCCTGGTGCAACACCTCAGCCACAAACATCAAACATGCTCATTATCATCAAACATGCTCATTATTCACCAATGGATAAAGGTGGCTGCAGCTCTATTGTGTGGACCACGTCACACATGTTTCTGCTTTCCCTGAAGAAGGCAGCGACCTCAGTCAAGCACCAGCCGGAACTTCTTGCCAGTGCTGGGCGCAAAGGTCAGCTGTAGCCTCTCAGTGTGGTGTGTGGTTTCTTGTCTTGCATGTGACTGCGGTGGAAAATAGAGAGCGCCGGTAACAACATGCAAGGGAGATATAGGTGTGGAGGCTGGTAAAACATGGTAAACGATAGTAAACCAACGTCAACCGTTTTGATTTGACGGGAATATCTATCCATTTTAAACTTGCTACCCTCTCTCCTTTCGGCATCCAGCCTTCTCGCCTCAGCTCGCTCCAAACTGTCAAAGGAGCGAGGCGCAAGTTCTGCCCGAAGCCCCATGGTGCGCAAGTTCTGCTTAAATGGCTGCGGCGCAACTTGTGCAACAAAAGAAACTGCAAACTCAGGACCATTGGATTCTCCCTGACTGCCATCTCACTTACCCATTCGAACTCATCAGCATTCACGGCAACGCAAAAAAGAACGTGCGGGCTAGATCCCACCTGCTTTAGACTCAAGTTCACATGAGGTGGTTTGAGTGGAGGGAACACGACCGCCGTTTCTGGCTGTGGCTTTTGTGAACTATGACGATGTGCTAGCCATTTTTGGACGTGCATGGAGACCTCTTATCAGCACCATGTGCCCTGGCGGCTAGAGTTTCCGTGCATTGCTGCAAATGTTTGTGTTTGCTGCTACCCTTTCCTTTTGATCTGCGCCTTCTCTCAAGTCGTGGGCCTGTCTTTCAACAAGGGACGCGGCTCCCACCACTCAGGGTCAGCAACATATATTTCTGCTATTACAATTGGGCTAGTGGCTAGTGTCAACCTCAAGAATGAACCATGAGCCCCACACACTGACTGCGAACCCGTTGAGCATTAAAAAGCGTGCTGCCAGAAGCAGGTGTTGAGTTGGGGCACTGAGCCACAGCCAAACTGCTGTCCGACCAAACAACACATTCGTCACAAGAATTGCCATGATAAGAGCAACATGACATGCATCCAAGTGAGACGTAGAACGCGGATCCACCCCACAGAAGCAGGCAGGCATGCTGCCACAATCACTGTCGAAGGGCGTGATGACAGCATGTTTGGATCCAAGTACCCCACTTGGATTGAACATCAAGGTGTGGAATGGTGTGGATTGGATTCGATCCAACCCTCATCTTTAGTCTCCAGGTGGCCAAGGAAGTCACAGCTTTCATTCTTCTCACGCATCCAAGCAGTATGGGTGGAGATGACATGTTTTGCCACTGGAGGGAACCAGATGGAACTACGGGCCAAAGAGCTGCCCATTTTCATCATATTTGGCTTACTTCGTGCTATGCTGTCTCCTTTTCACAACAAAGCAATCCATGTTTATGTAGACATGTCGTCGCAAGTTGTGGACTCATCTTTCTCATGTGTCAGATTTTTTGTCTCAATGGCAATCGAAGTCGGCAGCCAAATTGGCCTTGATGTGTCTTCTGAACCTTTATGACCTGACACGTTGCTGGAAATGCATACACACCAAACCTGCATCGATTTGCTTCAAACGAAGACGGGATCATCTTGCGCAAGAAAATCCATTGCCTCCATCAATCTCAACTCCTTTGCCGAGCAAATGACCATGTTGACTTCTGCAGAGCTTTTCTAGCCACGCCCTTCACAATCAGCCGTCTTGGCTCGAAGCGCCTTCACAGGTTCACAACTCACAACCTTGCCACAAACACATCCAAGCCGTCCCCACAACATTCCTGCCTTGATTTAGCGGCAAAATGCGGGAAATGGGATTAATCTGGCCGCACCCAGTTTGGAGCATGGAGGGGTCCAACGTCATCCTTCGGAGCAATTTTTATACACAGGTGCATACAGTACAAGAATTGTTGACAATGTGGTTCTCCATTCATGTCGTTCTCGGCTGAGCATGCTTGCACAAAGCATTTGGATGCATTTGGCCTGCTTCTGGGCTGCAAAGTCGCCCTTTGTCATGTATAGCACAACATTTCGGCCTGGCAGGGGCACTTCCTGAATTCCTAGAAAAACTCGGTGAGACTACTAACTACTGCTTCCTGCAAAAGGAAGACGAGCTGCTCGAATTCGTGGGTCCTTCAATGACTCAGAGGTACTGCTGTCTGCCACTACAACAAACAATTGCAAGCTCCTTCTCCCGCAGAAATCGCAGCAAGCCAGTGTAGCCTCATTCAGCAACAAGAGTTCAGTGTAACGACTCTCGACTTTGTCAGAACATTCTGCGCTGGAGCACCCCGGCCGACCACCCCACCGCCATTGTGCAAGCGGCGGTGGTGGAAGAGACGTGGAAACACACAGCAAGGCACCACCTCAAAAGCTGCTTCGACGATTGTAGTGAAGATCAGAATCCAATGTACAGAACATTACATATCTAGAATTCTAGAATACATGGTTTTCATGATGGGAGGATTCATCTATTGTAGATTTGTTGTCGGACGTTGTCTGCTTTCAACAAGAAAACGCTTCCATCAAAATAACGCGCACCGTAAACTGGTCTGTCAATCGGTCTGTCGACACAACCTGACGACCCTGACCGCAAATGGACGTTGGGCAGTCAGAGCAGCATCTACGATAGCATCTGTGGCCTATAGAAGCACCGTCACAGCCGTCATATTGACTGGCTAGTACTTGCTTCTGTCTGTAAGATGTCACACAATGGACTATACATATCATCTAAATGTCCACAAGAAGATGCAGCAAGAAATCGGCCTCATCTGGGTGCATTGCAACTACCACCTCTGCTCCAAAAACAAGCTCCATCGAAGAGTCCTTGGATGTGAAGCTTACACATGTTTACACCGTTTTTATATTCGTTTTGAAATTAAATTCTATTCTTGTTTCTAATAGCTTCTTGTTCCTAGTAGTAAGGCCAGGAGCCCCTAGTAGCGTCCTTGCTCCTAGTAGCGATGCCAGGAGTCCCTAGTTGCTCCAAGACCTCGGAATATTTCCCAGCTGGCCCAGCGGCATCAAAGTGCTCGCAAATGCGGTCGACCGAGCCCACTGGGTGGACATCTTCACCCTCCACAGCCTCGCCAAACGCGACGGTCTGGGCGAGCTGTTTTGATCGTTTTCGTCTTTGGAAGGCCATAAATCCTTCCAAGCAAAAGGTCTGGATTGATGGATATTAGTGGATTCAGCTCGGGATGAGAAAAGTTGCAGCACTTTGCCTGGCCTCACTCTCAAGTTCATCCGGCTTGTCTGACACGTCAGGAGGCCTCAGCTGCATGTACGAAGAGACACTATTTGCACTGGAACACAACTTGGTCTATCCTAACAGCTTGTCAAACACTATTTCTGCTGTGGGGCCATCTTCGGCTACTGGGGATGTGGTAGCTGATTGTCTCAAGATAGGAGAAAGCTGCGATCGAACTTGACTAGTGAATACTAATAGTGACAGTTTGGGTTGGCACTGCAATGGACATGATAGGACTGTGTGCGAACTGCAAGCTTGCTAAGTCTGATGGCTGTACCTTGCTCTGCTTCACCATTAGGCAGCCAGCCGTGGATCCACCATCAAGACTTTCATCCCGCGGGTGCCCAAAGCGGTGGCAAGAGCTCCTGCAACAGACATGACATGTAATTAGTTCCTCAACCATCTCAATCCTCTCAAATGGTAGATTATGAAGATGTTGAAGCCCAGTCCCCTCCTTTACCACCTGCAACCTCAAGTATGTAGCCACCGCACATGCCCTGTCAGGCCAGGCCATTGTCACAACTGCCTGAGGACTGGGGAGCTCGCTTGTGGGCGCCTCCAGCAGCGCTGAAGAGACAAAGTCTGCAAAAATGTTGTGGCGGTGCTCCTCTCAAGTTCTCAATTTATCAATGGCTTGCAACGTACATTCCTTTCGCTACTGTCTTTGCAAAGACTGTCTCCAGGCAAAGGTGTGTCTGCAGGTCTATATCTGTATTTATATAGGTCACGGCAAAATTGATGGTAGCTGGTGCACCCATAAAACAGCGCATGTGATGGGCGCTGAGACCTGGTCTGCACTTTTGAGGCACACGTGCTTACACAGCGCAAACCTTATCTGAGAACTCCAGAAATCCACGTGCTCGGGAAGAAACACTCAGCAGCTTTCCAGCCTGAAAGCTATTGTTTGAGAGCACCAACCAACACCAAGCCAGAAAACAGTTGGACAATTTTTGGGCATCTTAGCTCCGGCACATGGACAACTGGAGGTCCAGAGCCATCTTTGTTTCCTTCCTGGGCGTTGTTGAAACCGCATCAACAATGCTGGCATTCTTGGGAGGCCATGCTCTGTTGGAAACCGTCCATTTCTTGGTTGTCCCTTGGTCCATTTCATATCCGAGACACACGGAAGACCACAGAGCATGCAATCAAGAAGTCTCTTCTTTGCAGAGCCAATGCCCGGCTTGTGGGTAGTTGCTTCTTCAGAGCCTGACCCATCACAATCATCATTCTGGCGCCAAGTAAGTTGAGGCTTAAACACTGCCTCGTCTCGACAATGGACTTTAAAGTTTCATTAAAAGTGGAACACAACATAAGATCTGGTATTCTTTGCCTCTAAATCACCTGCGCCGCATCTCGTTGGGGCATTTTGGAAGAGTATCTGGACTCGCTCACCTGGAGCTGGATGGGTGTGAGATCTGTCAACGTGCCTTTGGTGGAATGTGTCTGCAAAATCCCTAAACATCGCCGACCTGCCTTTTGGGACTGAATATGGACACAACCCACATTGGTCACTTTGTTATCCTCTTTGAGCCCAAAACATGTGCTGACCCCTTTTTTACTGCTTAGCAGCAAAGGAATGAAGCCTCCTGACTTGACACACGAAACTGGAGCTTGGCCTGAGCTGGCCACACCAGCTACAATCGCCATCTGACGACCAAAGCTTCGGTGGCGATCGACAAGCACCTCCAAACACTCCTGCACCATTGATTCATTCATGGCCATACAACGTATCTCTCAAGATTTTTGACCTCTCCAATCATGTTCAGGTAGGTTTCGAGTTTCGACTTATGGTCAATTTTCTGTCAAAACTCTTTGACCTGAATCTGAATGTCTGAATGACGGTCCGAAAATGATGACTGCTCTGAATCTGGTTGCTGCCTCCTCGCTTGGTCTGTCTTCGCCATCTGCTGTGGCCATTTGGATGTCTAATGGATCGGGGAAAAGGCTCCAGTCACTTGCAATATCTTGCAATAAAGGCTTCTTCAGGTTCAAAACCGTGAAACTCCTGTGGCAAACTCTTCATTGATTTTGCAATTTAATTGAAACCACAATTCCTTCCACTTGAGGCACGTGGCACGGTTGCATGGTTTGTCAACCTTGGGAGCCAAAGGCTTTTTATGTGCTCCACATTTAGGCCAGCAAGCTGAACACATTACATGCGTTCTTCGACTGAGTGGATCGGCTCACTTTGCCTCCTTTTTCTGTTTTCATCTTTTTTCCGTGCGTTCTGGCACCAGCTGTCACTTGTAGCTGCCGAAGCACCTTGGAACGGGACATATCAAGATGAAACATTCATTGGCTTCCAGTCAGGGCACCACCAAGCATGACCTTTCGGACAGCACTCTCTTGTCACACCTTTTTGCAAAACAATTGATCAGCGTCTTCAGCGACCATTATGTCCGACCAGCCAGTTCGACCACTTGATCATACTTGATCTTCCAACTCGATGTGGACACAAACGTCCGCAAAAGCATGAGAAACAGAAAGGGCAAAGATCGTCTCACACTGGTCCTGGGAGTCCTGGGCCGGTCTCTCCAGGTGCCTCAGCCTCAGCGTCTCCACCCTTGGTCATCGTCTCGGTCGTCTCGGTCGTCTTTGTGGAGGGCAGCACCATCCTGCCCAGGTCGACGTATGCCTTTGAGGGATCCGTTTGAGCAAAATGACAACGAAGTCAAATGATCTCAAGATATCTCAATGACTCAAGTCGTTTCTTTCTCAAAACCTAGGTGCCAGATGGTGCCAGACTGCCAGAACACAACACGGGAGTGCCCTTTAAGATGACACCCGCGATATTCCTGGCTTCTTTGAACAACCTGACATGTCCTGGCCTTTCTGGCAGTCCCACATTGTGCATGGATTTATGCAAAACGCATCAAAAAGCAACGCAAGCGCACGCGTGCCCTGCTCGCCCTGTCCACCCTGCGCCTTGCCAGCGCCACACACAATCGTTTTCCTCAATCTGCTTGACTCAGCTTGGAGCATCTAGTCTAGCGCCCAAGCCTGGAAGGCTGAGGCATTGTCGTGTTTGCAAACCTAGAACGAGACTTTTAGCTTAGGTATTTTCAAGAGCAATGAAACGTATGGTTTCTATTAGGTGCTTGACGTGTAGGTACGGTGTGGGAGAAGTACGGGGTACGGTGTTTGAGTACGGGTGCCGGTACGGGGTACGGTGCGTAGGTACGCATCAATGGTACGGGTGCTGGTACGGGGTACGGTGCGCAGGTACGCATCAAGGGTACGGGGTATGGTACGGGGTACGGTGCGTAGGTACGCATCAATGGTACGGGTGCTGGTACGGGGTAGGTACGCACTGAGGGTACGGGTGCTGTGCATGTGGGGTGTGGCTCTGGGCGCAAGGGCGTGTGTATTGGTGTAGAGGGGGAGCCGAGATGTTGGCAATATCCACAGTGTTTGGGTGTTGGTTTGGTTTTCATGCTTCAGTTTCAGCAAGTGAAGCCGTGAGTTCTTTTTTTTTTCAATGTTCTGCTCGTTCAATCTTAATGTTTCAAATCTTGACCAAGATTTGCCCGGCCCTACCGGTCTTGAATGCTGGCCCAGAATTCAGGCCTTATTGTGCGGAGATACGGATACTAACCATCAAAATGACGTTGGTGAATATAACCCCCAGTACTATGGAGCAAGTGAAAACCAACGTGTCATCGTCGACCCTTTCTTTTCAGAATCTGTTTGGCTTTTGCCTTGCAGAGCCGCAATGATTGCTGCACGCATGGGCAGACTGCTTGTGCGCTCAGCTTCATCAGTGGGCATGCTCTCTCCTAGTTGCCGCATGGCCATAGCAAGGGCAGGCAGGACAAGCAGACTTGGACATGATGACAATGCTCACACAGGTTTCCATCCAAGTGTTTGACGGGTGTGACTGCAATTCGCAGGTAAACAAAAGAAGTAGAAAATGCTGCAGCCAAGAAGCTGCGATTTGTGAGGACATTTGGTGTTTGCAACACGTGCCACTGCAACACAGTCTCTAAGTCAGGCATATTAATTTGCAGGTTGCAATTCCGATGAACTTACTTCGATCTACTTTTTGCCATGACTTCGGGGGCACATGCTTCAAGCCTTTTAAACTTCCATTTGATCGTGAGCAGTACGGCAGGAAGATCACAAAGTACAATGAGGAACACGTAGTGCACATGAAGGACTTGATCAACATAGATTCCTTGGAAAGGAAGCAGATTGTCAAAGGCCGAGGCAGGCCTTCTTGACTGGCTTGCCTTTCCCACCACATTACTTTACTTGCGCTGCTGCTGCTGCTGTTGATGTGTTTTCTGGGTAGTGACTCTGTTGATTCCGTTTTTCCAATTCGACCAATTTTACAGGACATGGTAATGTCAGGTTGATTCAAAGTCCCCCGCTCTGTAGGTGCCTACAAAATATGGACATCGCAAGCAATGTTGCGAGTTGCGCTTGGCTCTGAGATTATGGGCAATTAGTTGGCGAATCAAGTTTGGACCAGCTCAGTTTATCTGGCGAGTTTTTGACCTAGGCTTGGCAGATCTGTGGAAAGCGTAGTGGCAGAGCTTGGTGCGAAGCGACGGAATGCAGCACAACTACCTAAGTCCAAATTGAAAAGCCCAACCATGTTGCTCGTGCTTTCGGTGCTTTTGAGTTTGTGAATCAAATGGTGTCGGAGGCATAGGGTGACTGCAGCTGCAACTCAGGTTCAGCCTAAACTCCATAGCATTTTGGCAAGGAACCTCAGGATCTACTGTGCATCAGGCGAACGGCTAACCTATTCTTGGACTCGGAATGCGGCTACTTGTCAACTTGTCATTGGTTCCTTTCCATCAGTCCAAGACAGGTGCGAAACGCGCTTTGTCATCTTTATCTGACAAAGCAGCGTCAGAATTGTGCCAGGATACATCAGGACTACAGCATGCGTTGTGTTGTGTCTCATGTACTGTTGTGTCTCATCTCATGTGAAGGTGAAGAGCTGTTGAGTTGGATTGTTTCATGACTCATGTCCAACGTTGTGATTGCTTCAGGACTCGCCACACACTCTTGGGATCCAGATCGAGTTTGATGAAACCGGTCAACAAATCCAAACACGGGAAAACATGGTGAAAGTGCTTGGCACGTTTCAAGTCATGGCATCTAGATTCAATCAGGTGATGTCATTTTTGATACTTACACGCCTTGCTCGATTTGTCAAAACAGTTTTGAGACTCAGGTATCTCGCACTACCTACCTTGTAGCTGCTCGCGAAAACACTGACCATATCAAGCACATCTCTGTCAGATGCTCATGATTTTATGATTTATGATATATCATATCATCATAATATCTAATGTGTTTTTTTGCAATATTCCTACCTGGCCTGCTATTGTTGCCAGGTCGTGAATCCTCCAGTCCTCTTGCGGAGAGCTACAGGAAGTGCCATATGGGAAGGGTTGCAAAAGTCTGCGGTCGTTGAACCACTAGGCCGGTGGAGGGGGAGCGTGCCGGTGGTTGGAGTCATTGCCCATGCTGTCCAGGTGTA